AACAGCACCTCTGTGGAGCATGTTCCTACTACCGGCTGCTTCCCTTCCCGGCTATTATCCACTGTTATCGACGGGTGTCGCTGGGGAATGGTCAGTCCTCATGCTTCCACAATAAGGGACTAAGCAGGACTCCTGTGTAAGATGTCAGCCCCACAATGACAGAGGTAATAAATCAGGGGGAAATACAGCCCTGGAATAAGAGCCCTGCTGAGAAACAAGGTTGGAGGAATGTGATTCAGGCAGCCTGCAATGCTTCTGCTCCCGACAGCTCCGCACATGCCTCCCACAGTGAGCACACGTTCCCGAGAGCCAGAAATCAGGCAGCTGGCAGAGCTTGCTGCAGGACAGCCAGCTACCCCTGCCTCCCACCCAGCCCAGGCAAGCACAGCTGCCAGAGCTGAAGATGACCTCTAGTCTGAGTAGGCACCAGAGAAAGGGCAAAGAGAGGATCTGCTCTTCCTACCCCTTCTGAAGAGGACTCTATAAATACTCCCTGGACTTCACCCTCTCACCCAACATCCACAGAAACAGCTAGTCTGCATTTTGCCCCAAGTGCTATAGGTTGCAAGATCTCATTGTGTTTGGATCCCTCGTGGTGGGATGTAGATTTGAGCCATCCTGAGGTACCCATAGGCAGCTCCTCAGCAGTCTCCTTCCCTGGCAGCAGTGTGATGTTTGGTTTTCCAAGTTATGTTTCTGTGACAAAACTATTTTAAAGGGGCTGTGTTCTTACCCTGGGTGTGGGCTCCCAGCTGCCAAGGCAAGTGCCCCAGACTCTTGCTTGCCAAGCTCACCTGCAGCACAATAATGAACAACAAGCCTCTAACAAGAGCCAAAGTTTGCACTGAGCTCTAGTGCCTTTTCTCAAAGCTCTGCAGTTTTCAGCTTGGTAAAGTGTCTGAAACATCTTTTACCATCTTTTCGAATTTACCATCACCCCAGACAGGCCAAATGTGATGGGGTGCTGCCAAAAAACTCAAGATCTGCTCTCAAATCTACTGAGGGTGTGCTCTGGATCTACTAGTGAATTTAATGACTGTGGCCATAAAATATCTGGCTCATTACCTGCACACTGATAATTCAACTATTGCATTAATTGAGTCATCCGCTGAGCAGCAGAATTAAGGAATCCAGGTTTCCTAGTGAGTGTTGCGCCTTCCCAAGCCCACTCTGGGTTGAATGGCAATGCTCTTTGTTCCCCTGCACACCACCCTCTTCCCTGCCACATTCCCAGAGGAGAAGCAATATCTGCTCTGCCCTGCCCAGCTGCCCCACTCACACAGCATCCTTCCCCTTGCCAAGGGCAAATGTTTCAGTTTTCCTTGCCCTGGTCCACACTAAACTTGCAGAAACTTTCATTTTCTTGTTAAAAGGGGGTCTGAAAGGCAGCCAGGCAATGTCATTACAGCAGTCTGAAGAAACCACATTGGCAACGCTGCACCATCTCAGTGGGGTGCCAAGTCATCCTCTCTCTTCCTTTGGCTCAAGGAATATTTTATTATTCCATTCATATTGTAACAGCTTTCCCTGAAAACCATCACTCTTGTTCACTTTTTGGGGAACTGAGGGAGCTTTTTCCTGAACGTACTTCTGAGTGTGGAGCATTTTATGAAATAGGCAATGGTTGCCTGGGAGTTTCAGAAGATACAATATTGGATTTAAACAATGGTGTGAATGAAGAGACTAATATTTTGTGGCTTTCCCATTATAGCCAAGTGCAGGCTGAGCCTTTGAAAGAAGCTGGGTGCAAAATAAACCCTGGAAAACTCTCACCTGTGTAAACCATTGCTTGACATGCAGCACAATGAGACAGCACGGGCTGGGAAACCTGGGAGCAGCAGCAGACTACTGAGAATTATTACCAAAAAATCACATCTCCTGAAAGGAGGTGTTTGTTTAATTAAACGTTGTGGTGTTGCACTTGGCTGTGTTCATCTACCTTTATTCCTATTAAGTGTATCCACTTTAAATTTGTCACACCTGTAATCTAAACCAGAAACAAAACATCAGAGTTTGTTCACGCGGTCTTGAAAGACTAATTTTAGGAGTAAATAAATTACTTTTGTGTTATTCTGACTGTAGGGTTGTTTACTTATCAAACACTAACCAACTTTGATGTTATGTATTTATTTATTACTACTTAACATTTCCATTAGTGCTTCAGTCTAACAGGTTGTGTTTTTTTTCCTCCCTCCTTTGCTAAGTAATAAAATCGTTGGTAGTGCCTGTTACAGCTTGACAATCAGGCCACGCATTTTTCACCCGATATTTGGCCTACAGAGATAAAAATGAGGCGAGAATCACCTGTTGAAATCCTAGCTCACCTCCTTTATTTTCACTGCGGACTTGGCGGCTGATAATCCCCTCCTGTCACCTGCCTTTCCCACCGATTTGCTGCCTCCCAGGAAACCTTACAGAGTGCTTGTCAGAGGATCACTGAGGTTGGAAGGGACCTTAAGGATCATCCAGTCCCAACCCCCTGCCATGAGCAGGGAACCCCTAGATCAGGCTGCACAAAACCTCGTCCGACCTGACCTGAAAAACCTCCAGGGAAGAGGCATCACCAGCCTCCCTGGGCAGCCCATTCCGGCTCCTCACCACCCTCAGAGCGAAGGATTTCCTCCCAAAACCCAACCCCAACCCCCCCTCTCCCGGTGTGAAACCACCACCCCGGCCCTGCCCGCGGCCGAGGAGGGACAGGTCGGAGGAAGCACCAAGTTCTGTGTCAGCGGGGCGAGCGCCTGGGGAAGGGAAGCGGCCGCGGGTGCGGAACGTGACTCCTGGCAGGAAACAAGGGAAGAAAAGCCGGTGTGTTCCCCGCTCGGTGCC